ACAGGCTGTAGAGCTGCTCAGCTCCCTGGCCATAAGCTGAGCCCGAGGAACAGAGCTGTTCACAGGGATGGCTCCGGCCCCCCATAAGGAGCTGGTGGATCTGGAGCCGGATCGGGTGCCCCTGCAGCGTTTCCCGATGAGGCCGGCCGTGGGCTTCCGGCCAGAAGGCAGGGGCTCTCACCAGCGGCCTGTGGCTGACATGGCCCCACACTACCCCTCCTGCCCTCCTGGGGTGCTGGTCACAGGGGCCGCCCACGCACGCCCCAGGGGAGCGGGAGCCAGAGGGCCTGGTGTGGGTGCAGGCCCTCCCCCAGGAACCTCGGGGCCAGCCTGGCTCCAGGCTGCCTGTGGCACCCGCAGCGTCATGAAGGCAGGACGCAGTAGCTGGCAGCATCCATACTGCTCCCGCTCCCCAGATCCCTCCCTGCCCCGGCACCCCTCAGCGAAGGAGAGGATGGAGGTGATGGCTCTGGCATGGTGTGCGGAGACCTCTGCTCCCAGGGACTCCCTGTTCATGGATCGTTGACTCAACAGGCCATAATGGCTCCATCTATCGGGGTCAATACGGGTGCCTTTGACACATGATAGACAATAATTGCTCCTGCTTAGAGACTTTTTAGTTCATGGATCATTGACCTGATGGGCTGTAACAGCTCCGAAGGAGGCTGCACACACACTCGACACCCCTGCGCTTAAATGGCCGCAGGAGCGAGGGGCTGTGTAAAACCACAGCATGGGCACGGGGTCACGCAAAACACGCCCTCCCCAAAAACGTGCTCCCCAGCACAGGTGAGCAAAGGCCCTGCGGCCCCTGGAAGCCCTCCTGGTAGTAGGGCCACAGAGGAGAGGCCGTGGCAGGAGGCACAGGAGCCCCACAGGAAAGGGCAGCGTGTCCCAGCCTCCCGCAAGCACCAACGGTAGGACCAGGGTGCATGGGGACGGGTTCATCTCCCGAGGGCTGCAGGCTGGAGCTCCCCTCTCCGACAGCAACTTGCAGGTATATGATTTAATGAAAGGCACAATAAGAAGTGAAACAATTAGAATTTCTGCCTCATTATCATGGTAATCTTATCAGTCGGATAATGAGGTATTAATGGAGATTTAATGTGCCTCTCATAACAGAATCCCTTGGAGAAAACACATAAGGAAATTGCTGTAAATCCACTTAATGATGGAAAGGTCCCCAAACACCATATTCCAGAGGATGAAAAATGCTGGATGCAAATGAGAGAGAATCAAGGTCAATAACACTGCAGGGACCGAGCCCAGAGCAGCACTGCACTGCCACTGCGCATCCACCCCAGTCTCGTCCCTTTGCCCACCCGCCCCATTCGGGGCAAGATGACAGGACCAGGGCAGATGCACGGCAGCCACCACGATCCTACTGTTGGGTAGCCGATGGGAACATTTCTTAAGAAATGACTGAACCACAGTACTTTTGAACTTGACAACTCCAGTCAAGGCGTCAAACAGCACACAGCATGGGACTGGACACTGGCCTGTGAGCCACCTTACAGTGCTGTGACAGCAGGCAGCCATTTTCTTCTTTCAAGCTACTAGGACAGCCAAGCTGCATGGTAAAAAAAACAACAAACAAACAAACAAAAAACCAAACAAAAACCCAAACCACACAACACAAACTGAAAAGCTCTGTGTTAAGCAGCCAACTCGGCCATGCATCCTCTCCTCTCCATGCATCCAGTTAACTGGATCTTGTTCTTTTTTGCCACTGTCTGCTCCCCGCCAGCTGTCTGTGCACACGTGGAAGAAGGTCCTGCAGATACGGCACGGCAGCAATGCTAAACGAAAGCCATAACTCGTTAGTGGTCAGTTGTTTGCACTGCAATGCCATCTCCAGCACAACTGCTGATGATATTGGAACAAGGCGGAAACATGAAACCCAGGCGGTTAAACTGCTCTCCTTTTAATCAGTTTTTACAGAATAATACATTAATAATCACGTTAGAGACAAGATGGGTTTCCTGTATACAAGATTGTGCAAGCTCATCAATTTAGATTTATAAAGGCTTTACCAGTTTCCAAGAGGAGAGGCAGTACAAAGCTTTTAAATAGAGGTAAAGCACAATCAGAAGATACAGAACACACACTACTAAATCAGTGGAGATTAATTCTCAAGTAGTACAGGCTCGACCAAGTCACCAGCTGTTACCCAAACAGGAGTATTCTTCTCCCTCCTTGTCCACTGCTTTCCCGCTGCTCCAGATCTCCCGTCACGCTGCCAGCCGAAGGCTGCGCACGCTGCGCCGCAGCACGGCCACACAAGCGACACTCGCGCCAAACACACACGCTTTACTTGCCTGCAGCTTTGCTGCCGAACAGGCCTGCCTCCTCCTGCTGCTCCTGTTCTGGCCTAACCCCCTTCCTCCACATACTGCTCAGCATTAACATGGCAGTGAGTTCTCAAACTTCTGCGAGAATTTGGCTTAACAGAACATACATGTTTTCAAGCAATACGAACCAACGCTGCTCGCCAGAAACTCACCTACAGGAAACAAGATCATGATCGTGGCTTTTTTTCCTGAAATTTATGGCAGTTACATTCAGCATTTGGTAGTATAAGGTCTTAAAAAAAAAAATGTTTAAACTCAAATACTTAATAGGCCATACATGTTCCAATTCTCCTTAAAGAGGACTTAAAAAAAAAGCTTTAAAGAGAAATCTCATTTAGGGTTAGGAGCAAAAAGGAATCTCCTAGGGATGAAAAAACCAGCCCTTTCCTTTCACTCCTCTACCCAAAAAAGGAAAATACCACCTCTGTAATATTAACAGGCATAGCCATACCATCATTTAATTTGGCATCTCCTCCAGACACGCCAACAACAAGCACTGAAGTCAACAACTGAGCCTTAAGTCCATGACTGCAATCTGCTACTAATGACCTCTCCCCCCTCCCCAAAATGTTCCATTCATCCTTCAGTGGTTGAAGTAATTTAATTAACAGAAAGCACCAAGTTTACAGCAACAGGTACATGGCTGGTTGGCACCTTTTGGCAACAGTTCTGTTACTTTTGGTCCATTATGCACTGTCTTTTCACCTTTACTATTGCACACCAAAACCTAACATCACTTCCTATACATGTAATTTATCATTTTAAAACAAAATGTTACGGGACACCAGGGAACATAGTAAGAGGGTATCGCAGAAAGGTTTTTAATTCTTTGGAAAGCCTAATTCTCTAACTACACCTATCAAGGCTATATAAAGGACTTTCAGAGTAGGTTGAAAAAAAGCAGCAAAGGACTGTCTTGCTATGAAGACTCTCAACTCATGTGGGACTCATTTAAACACTTAATGGTTTTAAAATAACTAAATAATTTTAAAAAAGACTCCAGTTCTATTAAGTATTTTTCTATGCAGAAAAACAAAGTGATAAAAACTGTGAAGGAAGTGGGTTTTGCCCCTTCCATAAAGGGGAGCAAATCTGAAAGACCTGATGGTGCTGATCAAATCCTGCTTGCCAAGTTTGCAAACAGAAGCAATGCACAGGGTAATGGCCAACTGACGTGTCTTTCTGCCTTCTTTAAGGATTGTACAAATACTCTCCTCGACTAAAACCCAAACTGCAGGACTAAAAGAACTTTCATACATCAGTCTTACCATCTCAGATATTCAAGTAATAATTAAATATTACAGGACACTTCAATATAAATAAATTTATATTGCTTTTAGATATGATCTGGCCATATCTTCAAGGGCATTTGTGCTTCATTGCTGAGTGTTATTGGTCAGGGCTGTGCTTGCAATATTAAGTTATGTGTTCAGCACCACAAACCCATCAAGGCTAAATAACTAGAATATTGCAATGCTACACAGACTGAGTTACCAGAGTAAGGCAGATCAGAAGAACTTTGTTTCTACTGAGTATTGCTCCTCCACACAATCAAGCCTCTAATAGAGGAGAAAGACTATAAATAAAAGAAAAAAGTTACCATCCCACCCTCTCACCTGTGATTAGTTTGACAAAAATGCTATACTGAATTACATATTAGAGTTCTAGAAAGTAAGGTTCTTTAATTATGCCTTGACAAGTAGCACAGACAAATCAAGCACTTGATACTTTACATAAATTGCTCTAATTTCAGTTAACCAAATGATTTTCCCAAGTACTAGTTGCTTACAGGTTTTAATCATCAAAACACCTCCCCCGCCAATCTTATTTTGAAAAGAACGCAAAAAAGATTTTGTTTTCTTTACGACTCACAGACACCAAGTCTTAATACATCCCTCTGTCAGAAGTGCAATGAACACTCTGGGAAGAGCAAGAAATAATACTGACATGAAAAAGTTAAATGCTCACTGTCCTTTTTCACTGTAATTCTAGCTAAAAAAAGAACAGCAAGTGCTTATATACAGATAATAACCACGGGCCATCACTCAGACCATTTCACTCATGAAAAATCCATGTGGTGTTGTGCATAAAAACTTCTTTAAATTGGTAATTGTTGGTTTAAGGGAAAAGTGGGGGGAGAAATCTATAAAACACCCTGAACTGATGTCATGATATGTTTCATAAAGAACAGTGTTATATTTTAAAATATTTTATATGAACAGTAAAACTTGCACTGCTGCATAGCAGACAACACGAAGAACATTTAGTAAAAACATTCACTGAAACCCCTGGCATATGTATTTCATGTCACTAATCAAAATATATATTACAGTCCAAGATTCTGCTAAGGATCTCTGTTTGGGGTTTGTACAGTATACACAATATCTCAGAAAAAAATATTACAGTAAGGTATTTTATTTCTCCTTTTTTATATTAGACTTATCTATTGTAACTTACAGTCCCTCTCCTCTATATATCCAAACCTTTGTAACACCCTAATGCCCTAGCCAAAAAGTGTTTAGCTATCTAATAAGCCCTGTCTATTATAAATTCCAGTTTTAGAAATTTCAGTAATCTTAATTACATTTTAATAAATAGTTCAGTTTGCCCTTTTTTAATCTTAGCCTTTTGAGAAGTCCTTTCATTACCAAAACACAGTATGTCACAACCTGTTAGAGGTCAGAGAGGCTTTTGCTTATTCATTCAAAGGATAATGAGTCCAAAGATAATTGCAATGCATTAAATATAGGTATATCATATTTACACTGTCCTCTCAGATTTTAAATTTAAGTGAAATACAATTGATAACTAATGTCAGCTACTACAAACTTTCAGTGTGGCTGGTGTTTTATTAATAAAAGGTGTATTAAGCTAGAAAGTATACTAAGTGGTTGCCCTGATTATTCTTGTTTCAGCTTTCTATTAGAAATTAAATGAAGTGAATTATTCACGTGAGTAAGAATTCAGGAAGAGGGGTGGTGGAAAAAGCATGAAGCATTTTCTGCATGTTTTGAGATTCCAAAACATCTGAAAAACGTGGTCCCTTTTGCAGTGCCGGTATCTCTAGGAGAAAAAACGCAACCAAAAGAGAAGAGGAAAATCTGTTAAATTAATTTGATTAGTAAAGATGTGTTTTAAAATGCCTCAATTCTGTACAGTATTATACAAGGAAAGTCTCTTCTTCAGCTTTTTGCAGCTGTTGTACATTCTTACATGTTCCTCTTCTGCTAACAGTCTGCCCATACATGTGCTGTTTGAGTTACTTGCGATCATCAATAGTTTTAATGAATTCAACTGCTGCTGTGAACTGCATCCACCAGTAGGATTCTTCTCCAGATAAACAGTTGGCATAGAAACTACTAATGTACTGAACAGTGGACAGCAAGCAAGGTGGATTTGCCTGAGGGTTAAAGGAGAAAGAGATACTCACAGCTTGTTTGCAGAGCTAAACATAAAACATTACAAGACAGAACAGAAATACAATTCTGTATTTGTATTTGTGATCCTCACACATTCATACAATTATGTAATGTATCTGTAGGGTAGTGACTGTTAATCCATTTCACACACTCAGAATGCACCAGACTTGATGAAAGGATCATTTTGCCAACAAGGAAAAAAGGACTAGCAGGCCAAGAGAACGAAGGCTAACACTGGCAGAACCTATAAAAGTCATCAAGGATTGTCAACACATGGAAAAGCCTATAGTTTTAGCATTTTACATATGACAGACCATTCTCCAAACACTCGTATGTCAAAAGAGGTCAGCAACACAATGCAAGTCAGTCCTAGTGTGCATCTGGTCCTGAAAGAAGACAACATTAAGCAGGCACAAATGACAGATGCTGACGGACACATCTCAAAAAAACCCAGCTCCACACACAATGCCTGCATCCTTATTTCCTTGGTTCCAAATGCAAAGTTTGCTTGGATTTAAAAAATCGTAACTGTGAGCACATTTCTGATGTTTCTATTTAAACCTGCTGAATTAGATCTGGTTTTCAATCTAGCACTACCATGCTCCCAGTTACCCAAATGCATTATTTTTCTTCCTAAAATTTGCTTGTTTATTACAAGAATTAGTGGGGGATTGTGATCTTTGCAAAAGAACTCACCTTTATGAGGACAAAGACCAGAACAGGAACAAAATCATCTGCCCCAGGTACTGAATCTTCATTTGCCAGACTAAGTAGGTTCATGATGGTTGAACACATTCGCAGGATACACTGTACTTTGTCTCGAGGGGTTTTATAAGCGCTTATTGTGCGGATTTCAGACTGTGCAGATGGCCATGGTGCCTCCCGGAGATATACCTAGGAAAAAAAAAAGCCAAACAACAAACCGACGTGCTGCCAGTTCTTGTTTGTCCAAGCTACTACTGTGCACCACAGATGATCTTTAGTACCAGAGACTTGCAGGCAGGAGCAAGGCTCCAGAGAAATGGGAAACTTTAAGTCAGGGTGGTTACATTAAACTCACAATAAACGTGGCTTCCTGTTGTGTTATCATAAAAAACTACAAGGAGCCAGCACTCTATGTGCCACTAACATAATTAGCCTGTAATTCTGCCCGACTTCTCTAGTACACTGTTTCAAATAAAGGTAGAGCTGTATGTCTCAGTCTTACGTATCACCAGCTTTATGAACACTCACTGTTTTGAGTCATACAGTTCAAGTGCTGAATTGAGAAACTAGGAAAGCTGCAAACATCCAGCCTCTGACAAACAACTTAAGCTCACCTACCTTCGTTTAGTTACTCTATTAACCATGAGAAAAGTGAAAGCACTGGGCATATTCACAGATCTGCAAGGTTCCATTAAGTCTGGCTAGTTCAGAAAGTTGACTTGACAGCTGTAAACCACAGCTATGGCATATGAATCACATTAGAGACATAAAGAATTCAAATCTTGTCTTTTGAAGCAAATTACCAGAAAGTTACTGCATCTTAGTGCAGTGTAGTATTAGTTCTTAAATCTTACTATCAGGACAGAGGTGACAAAACCACAAAAAAGGAATTTGGAAGGATCAGTCAGTGGAAGACACTGAAACATGGGTACAGCATGTTTTTCCTGCAGGGTATTTCAGCTGTCAGATTGAAAAGCAATGCTTCTAAGAGTAAAACAAAACAACACTCTCCCCATCCTGAACACAATCAAAACCAAGCACCCTGATATGCATACAAAAATGAAGGAAAGGAAAAGTTGTTACCTCGGGTATCTGAAGTGCTTTGTGGTTTGCAGTCACTACTTTAGATAACCTCTGAATGTGCTCATGAAGGACCCTGAAAACAAATACAAAAAACAAGAGTGAAAAGCCAGCCAGTAGTCCCCTGGGGTTTCCCACTAGTTTTACATTTGATACTACAAGAGAGATCTTCAGGAATGCATATAATCATGACGGTCCTACAGCTAATGGGCACTAGGTCAGTAAGAGACACGGCAGGTTTTGCCATACAATCAAGTACAACCACACAGGCAGTAGAGCATTCAAACAGCGTATGTTCTAAAACACAAAAAACAAAAACCCCAAATGCATGGAAAATACTGTATCAAAACAGAAAATGGAAGAAAATGGAAGGAGTCCTGAAGCAGATTTTGATCGTTCTCTCAGCATACACACTTGCAGATCTGAAAGTCTGTATCCCAAGTCATTGGGATTTTACTCTGTTCTAGCAGCTTGTTGCAAACACAAACTTTTGCACGTGATGCTAAAGCACTTCCTTGTTCTTTTACAAAACGTTCTCAAAGAAGATACGAGTTTTTAAGGCATGGCTGACTTAGGCAAGTCTGTCACATGAAGACTGCACAGCTTCCATCTGCAACAACTGCAAAAGAGAAACCAGGTACTTCAAAACACATTAACTTACTGGTCACGCAAAATATCTCCATCCTGATTAGGGTAGAAGGCAAGTTTGAAAATACGATTCATCACACTGCGTTCTATAGCTAATTGTGCATCCTGAAGCTGTTCTTCACTGGCATTCTGCCATATGGCATCCTGAGCCATAGCCCCATATAAGAACTGAAGAAAATCCTCAACTTGGGCTGTTTTATCATCTGCTGCTGTAAGTTTCTGGAAATCTGATAAAAAGTAAAGAGAGAGAGAGAGAGAACATTCAGTTAAGTAAAAAACATTATTGAAATAAATGGAGGAATTAAAGGAAAAGCATATAGGACACGTTTAGCAAAGCATACACTTTAGCAAAATGCTACTTGATACTGTGTTAAACAGTTCCTCTGCAGTACCAGTTCTTATGCCTTCTTCCCAGCCACCCACAGAGATAACACCCAGAACAATCACTAGAACAGTCGCTGGTAGGAACCAGTGCACTCAAAGTTGTCAGATGCTGAAAGGGAGGGTGAGGGAGGGAAGACATGAAAAAAACCTTGTGCACCATTTCCTACCCCTACCTTTATTAAGTATGCATAGTTGCAACATTCATATTTATCTACAAAATACAGAATGAGTGATGCAGCCAAGTTAATGTAGCATGACCAAATCACTGGCCATTCATCGGCTTCATATTTATAGCACTCTGCACCAGAAGACAACTGCCACTCACATCTGCCAACAGCCTAAATGCCACAGCTGCCAATTTCTCTTTTAGATCATCCAGAAATAGCTGTCTCCTTTCTGTCCAATGAAAGGGCTTTAACTCCTTCCCTGATCACTGAATCTTATTACCAGAACTTTAATCCCAGTATATGTAAGTTATCATATTAATTCCAGCCTATTTAGGCACATTTAATATGCAGCACTATATGCTCCAGAAACAAGAACTGACTCCAAATTTCTTGCGTACTTCATTAAGTCAAGTATGTGCACAGAGAACATAGAAATAGTTTGTTTTAAGTGACTCTGTTTTGAGAGAGTTGTCTTTCTGGTGCTGCCATCCCTTACGCTATGATATTTTTGAATCTTTCATTAATTTGATTCATACTACTACTATTCCCCATATCTTCTAAGATTAGAAGAACCACAGGTTCTGTACTGAGGACTGAACTCTGCAACTTAACTTAATCATTTATCAGTAGATCTAAAATAAGTAATAGTATTCATGCTTCTAACATGGGGCAAGTGCTAGATAATATGATTTAGCATAACTTTTTAGGCCAAATGAGGTCAAATTACCTTCATTCTCTTAGCCCATGAAAAATGCAGACAGATACCATGTCTTAGCTGCCACAACATACTGTTAAGTCACAGTAATCTGTCTATTTAATCCATTAATTCACCAGCTGAAATTAAAACAGTTCTAGGAATCTGCTCCTCAGATCAGAAGTTGTATTTTAAAACACTAGCCCAAGCCAGAATCTAAGTATGGAGTAAAGGAATATAAACATTTCACAGTCTGCATTAATCTTACCTTGAATAAACTCCCTTATTTTCTTTTCTTTGCTCTCTAGCAGTAACCTCACACATACTGTAGTGAAGTATCTGTTGGCCACTTCTTTATCTCTCAGAACTCTTTGCAACAGCCTTTCCAAGTGCGCTTGTGTCGTTTGCAGGCCTTGTCGACATCGAGTTAAATAAGCAATATATGGAGCTCTTTTCCTAAAATAAAGTGCTCTACATTAGATTCGTAATGTCTCTCTATCTAAAGATAGAGGCTAATGACTTTACAAACTGTTAAGTTGCAGTGCAACAGGAATCTTCAACCTGTTGTTTTTGAAACACAAATAACGCCCAAATTAGGAAGTTCCTAGTGACTAAATATATGCATTTGGAAACCCATTAATAACAATATACTGAACAAACTACCTATAGTCCTCCGCAATAGACGCCAGCAGCTTTCGACAGGTCCTGTTATCAAAACGGCTTACACATCGCATTGTCTCTTGCAGCTGGGCCATCAAGTTCTTGTCCTGGAGGTTAATAGCTTCAGCTAGCTGAACTTTCAAGAAGCACACAATTTCATTATCTAATAAAGAACAAAGGAAAATTATTAAGGAAAGAAATGTAGGCATGATGAAAATAAAATTGGTTTTTAATATGGGGAAACATATAGCAGTTTAAAACGAAACTTCTATACATCAGCCAACAAATGTTAATTTAAGAACAATTTAATAACTCTTTTTTAACTTTCCAGATATCAAGGGATAAGTTTTCCTATCACTATCTTATTTAGATCCATTCTGAAACATAAGGAGGACCAGATAAGGTGACAAATTCACCTGTCTGCAAATAAGCCTGGAATGAATGGAGGGATGCAAACACAAGACACGTATACTAAGTCAACATGAAGACTCGGTAAATCATTCAGGTTACTCTATTAGTACTGTAGCACAATTCCCAACAGTACATGTATTTTGGGAGTCTATTCTACAGCTTCAGGCTCTACCTGGACTATAGCTGAGATACTTCATTACAAAAAAATTAGACCAGATTTGGCACATTTGTTTGTGGAGTAAGAAAGTGTTTTGGGGAAAAGGTGGCCTATGCCTTCTGTATCCATTCCAAACAGAAGTTACCATAAATGGTGCAGTAAAAGTGCCACTAGATGGGGGAAAAGAAGATACACATACAATACAAAATATCTGTATGTATAAAGAACACTTACCTTCAGGGTCCGTGTGGTCTGGTAGACCATTCCTTGTTGAATGTGTCAACATTGGGAAGGCAACAGAATCTGCTGAGCAAAGAGCCAATCTCAATTTCTTCTTTGCATCCCTTAAAGAGGAAAAAATATTTTCTTAGCAAAGTTACTGTAAGATCTGCTTCTTCAATAAGCAGTCTTTACTTTTGAGTTTGTTTTTTGTGTGGTTTTTTTTTTTTTTAAATACTGCCTAAAAGTTATTTAGCATAATTTTAATATAGCAATGTTGTCAAGACTTTAGAATAATAGTTCTTTTAATATAGCATCTAGACCAGTTTCAAATGAATTTTCCTAAACAATGAACTGCTCTGTCCTCTCAGGTTACAATATCACCCCTTCACCAGTGGAAATATGACAGTTTTAGATGCTTAAAACTAAAAGCACATAAATGTTTACAGTTGATCGATATGAAGATTTTTGTGGGAACCAATCACATGGCTTCAGCTTTTAATTCTACTTTGTGGGTAAGATTAAACCTACAAATGTATTTACCTGTAGGAGAAAGCAGAACTTTGTGGCTGTGCTACTTGACTTGCGGAGTCTGGGAGATCATCTGCAGACATGTTTTGCAAAGCCTCATCACGTGGAGAGTCATGCACGCTCTCACCATCCCCAATAGCCTCTATGGAAATGAAAGAAACAACATTACACTTGAAGAGAGCAGTCAGAAGAGGAAACTAGACTAATACTCTCTATTTTCTTCTTGTTTTTGTAAAATCAGGGAAGGAATGGGGACAGCAAATAAAACAACTTGCTCTAAGTGAAAAAAGTGTATTAAAAATATACAATCTACAAGTCACTAAGAAGAAATTGCACCAGTTTTGGAAGGCAATATACTTCTCCAGTATTCATTAAAAAACAAAACAAAAAATGGTAAGAGATGTGCTATTAGCAAATCATCTCCTCAATGGCAATATGACAGAGCTGTCCTTGGGAATACTGATTTAATTCCCAGTCTCTGAGGGACTGTCCCACAGATTATTTGACAGAATGTTCCTGGTTGGAATAGGAACAGGAACAACAGCTCACATTGTTCAGCTGTTAGTACTAACATTGGTCTAGAATACTGAAGTGTTTTTCTCTTTAAGGAGGAGAAACTATGCTGGTGATGATTATAAAAGCCAGGTTCTCACCTGCACCATCATAGTTCACTATAGCTCCTTCACTAGGACTGGTTCGCTTAATTGCATTCCTGTATTTGTCCAGAATGTCCTCCGCAGCTTGTGCCTGTGCACTGAGCCTTGGGCTGGGATCATCTGAAAAGACCATTAAAAACAACAGGAGTTAACCTTATATTGTGCCAACTGAAAGCAAATACAAAAATTGAGAGCTACACATTTGGACTCTGTTTTTAGCCACATCAAACAAACAGCTGCTTGTGTCCTGTGTAGTCACAGTTCAAAGGTACTTATAAAGTCTAAAGCACAAACAGAAAAAAAAAAAGTACAATGCAAGTGAACAAATAAAGCCAGATCCTTAGCATATTTATACTGTGTACACAAATGGTTGTTGTGTATTTGAAGACTTCTAGAAACGATTAGGCAAACAGAAAGCTAGACACAGAGGTTCAAATAATGTTTAAATTAGCACTTAAGTAACTATTACAGTAACATGTCTGCAGCTATCCTTACAAGTCAGCTATGATAAGGCCATGAACTTCATAATGAGAAAAAAAAAAAGTGAAGACTTGAGTCAAGAATCCAGTACTATATACAGGGACAGAAGCATGACAATATAAAAAACAGTCTTCAAGGCAAGAAGTCTTTATCCACTTTCTTATTCATAAAGACAGTTGTGAATATTAACTACAATAGCATAAACCCTTCTGTAAATAAATACCTGGTGGGCACTCTGGAACTCTAGAGGGCATGTTATGAGAGAAAATTACTATGATGATATTATTCACATACCTTGAAGTGTTGAGTATCTGTCAGGCACCATGTCATCTTTGTCTTTTTCTTGTTTTTCTTTCTTTCTAAATGGAATAGGAGCTGAAAATGCAAGGTACCTTGTCAAAGACTATTCTGAGATAATGGCCAGATTGAAGAAACTTTAAGAAAGTGGCTAATGCAGAAGTTTGTCATCAAATAAAACTTCAGTAAAAGCATAAGCCTATCTACGGGGTGAAGCAGAACTGTACTGTCATCATATGTAGTAAGCTCTACCTTTAACAGACATGTGACCATAAGCCAGGCAGAACAGTTTTACGTTCCGGGTACAGTACGCTCTACGCAACTACTAGCCAAGGGAGTCAGGTAGTTTCCCATTTTTATTTACACATTTATTTATGTTTTAGTTTAGCCAAGAGTCTTAACACAAATATTAGTCATAATGACATGAATCTCTTTTGGCAACTCGTTCCCGCTAGTAAGTTCAGAGAGAAGATGCTAAAGACAGCACACTGTGAAATGGAAAAGCAAACAAAGTGGTATTAAAATACTGTAACATTATCTAAAGTCACACAGAGACTACAAAGATTATGTTGGTTCTTTTCTACCTGAAAGTCCATTTTAAAAAAAGGCAAGAATATCTAATACTTCATACATTGTTCCATCCCTAGTTGTCATTACTCACAGCATGAAAATCAAATATTATCTTGAATAAGCTTTACTTGGTAAATAGCCAAAGTCTAATTTCCACTCATGCCGTGTTATAAGTGATATCCTAAGATACCAATATCCTTCAACTAGCACACTACCATCCATACAGAATTAAGACTAGTTCTCAGTGAAGCTGCAATGAAGTTAACACCACACAACTATGAAATGACTGGTCTCCCATAAAGATACCAAGGTTACTGAATGATTAAGATAACACAATGCCTGACCAAATTCCTTTCAGCTTACATACCTCAGCATACTTTGTATTCAATAATTCTTTACTGCAACACTTGGAAATCTGTAAGTAAGATTCCTTTATTTCTCAAAATTAAACAGGACAGCTATTACTATGTTACAAACCTATGTATCAGCTTTTCAAAATGAAACTAAAAACTTCCATAAAAATGACTAAAGATATAATAAAGGCAGCGTGCACTCTTGAAGTACCAAAAACAGACGAACGTGATCCTACCTTTGGGCATGGCAGACACAAAACGTTTCCTCCACCAGGGCTTGTTTCTGTCAGACTTCTCATCATCACTGTCTTTTCGTTCTTCAATCTGTAGAAGGGCAGAGTCTACATTTGAGCATCTACCATATCCAGTGTAAAGACAAAAATTCTTCTTCACACCAAGTTTTACTACACTGACTGTGAGAACAAAACTACAGCAGAGCACAGAAAGCCATAGCAGATTACATTAGAAATAACCCTCCTGAAGAGGGATGTCTATAAATGCAAAACCAAAGACATGAAGAAACTTAGATTTCACTTATTTCTTTTTTAAATAAAATTACTTTTCAGGATGCTGCAGCACGTTAAACACTACAACAAATCCATTTCTGAAGTTCTACCAAATCAAGTAAAGCTTATCCAGTAAATTTAAGAGAAACCAGGTTCATATAAGTCACTCTGAACATCTCTAGTTTTAGCTTGTAAAACATTATTGGCCAACGTTTAAAAGGTAACAAAAAAGCATTGCAATTCCATGGCTAAACACATTTAATAACAGCTTTCTGCATTAGATGCGTAACTAAATTGGGCATGCTAGAAAAAAAAATAAAATGATAAATAGAAGCCTTACCTCTCCCCTCGAGGAGTCTTTACTGGGAGATGAAGATGATGACTGAGATGCAGCCACCAGAACTGCTGCTCCAGTGTTGGTGGTCGGCATAGGAAGCTCCCTCTCCTCATTACCAGGACGTCTGTTCCACCCAGGATCACTCATAGGTCTCCGAACTGATGATACTATATCTGAACTCCTACTGCGGACTAGCCTCTCTGGATAAGAATGCCTCTGCTTGAATGCTTCTAAATCAGTTGGAATTAAAGTGTGAGACCCAAAGTTTGGTAATCGGGCCTCGTTACCTCCCATAGCTCCTTCCAAGATTGGTGGATCCGGTGGTGGATGAGAGGGTCTTGCATAGTGTACTTTAGGCCTTACTACAGCTGATACACCTGCAGTCATAAGCATAAAAGAAACCACACACATTTCTTTTAACATTTTTCCAAATTAGTTGGCACTAACACAGAAGCATTGAAAACGTCTGTTTTTTAAAAAAAAGCTTATTTTTTTACAACTCACCCTCATTTGATGAAAGAGGGTCAAACAATGCAAGCAAAGAATCTGTCTGAGAAGGAGGAGATGTCAACTGACTGGCTCCTGAAATACAGAAAAAAAAAAGTTAGCGCTGTACCAAGATCTACCTACACCATAATGGACACTGGAAAAACAGCCCTCAACAACAAAAGTTTACAAAACTTATATTGCAAAATATTTTAGAAGATATTCTTATATGGAAACACCTCTGTAGAATACTAAAATGATCAAAGAATTAAATCACAAAATGTGGGGAAATCTTGAGGAGCAGACCAGTTCCAAAATGCAAGAGGACAGTCAGTGTAATAAAACCAAGTTAGGAAAAGGTGATCTTAAATCTAATACTCAAGCTCTAGTACTACAATGTACTGGAGTCTCTTTGTCAAACGAATACAGTGCTAGCAAATAAGGAAAATGTTAAGCTTAGCCACCAGAACTCTGAAACTGGGAGAATTTGTAAAATTTAAGGATTCTACAGATGTCACTTATGAGACTTCAGTTACCAGATTCTAAATCTCGTTTACAGGTAAGTAACTTACCGTGGGCCACTTCATCCATGTCAGGACTTGTCACAGAATCTTTTCCCCCAAAGTCAGAGCTACATTCAGACCTGAGATCCTCAATCTTATTAGGAATATCTTCAGATGTTGCACTAATACCTTGCACATAACAAAAGAATCATCTGTAATAGTCTCTCAGAGAAAAAGGAAGCAAAATCCTGAAGCTGTTAAAATGTTTGGCAAACACTGCAATAATCAAGTCCTAACTCACAGTAGCACCTAGAGACATTATGAATTTCTATACTCCTAAAATAACATCTTATTTCTGCTCTACGTCTTCAACTGTTCTAACATAGCCCTGAAGACACTTCACTGTTAAATACTTAGCAGAAAACGAAGAACTGAAGTAGCTACATAATCTACTACATGATATTTAATATTTATATTAAATAAAAAAGTTGTGATAATAAAACTAAATGCAAGAAGGTTAAGGGTTTCTTCCAAATCAACACTCCACAGCTAACCATTGCTGTTGTAGCACAGAGTATTTGATGCTTTGCTGCCTTTTTTATTTCTTCTGTAAGATGAACAAAGAATTAGTGCTTTGAAAATTACAGAATGAGTGCAAAAAGTTCCTTTATGAGTGAAACAACGTATTACTAAAGCAAATGCAGCAAAACAGATGCTGATCATGTTCCAATAGAGCAGCATGTTTCCACAGACAATTAAACACACCTGATACAACACTGAGGCCTGGTGTACTGGGTCGAGAACTGACCTCCCTTACATCTGTGTCATCAGATGTGCTACCCAGCCCAGAACAGCTTTCCAGTTCCTGTAATCTTTCCTCCTGTTTTAAGTCTGGGGCTTCTAGAAAAGGGAGACAATGGAGAGTAGAGAGAAAAAGTATCATTACTCAATGCCATGCTCCCTTAATATTCACATACAGAAGAAAGGGGGGTATGTGTTGATGCAGTATACTAAGTCCTAAGCTGACTCAACCACTTCAGTCGGACTATTCTCG